ACAGTTCAAAGAGTTAATCGTATTTGAAGAATCGGAGGGTAATGAAGTTACAATTGAAATGTTTTTTCAGTACCTTCAGTACCTAGCTGAATACCAAAAAGGTATATACAACATTTTAAATCCTGTGCAATTGAATTCTTTGTTATACAAATGTTACTATTGACTGTATCTTCCTGCATACTGTACCTGAAATTTAAACTCCAGTGATCTCTAAATTGGTAAACATGCAATACTACATGATAAAGCTATATTTGATATATTTTTAGACCAACCATCATTGACAGATTTGTGCTGCTTTTGGTGTGCCTGCAATGCATTACCGGTCCGGGGAGAAGCCCTCATGGCAAAGTTTGACGATGGTTCCAGTGAACTCCCATTTGCAGAAACGTGTTTTTCAGTAATCACATTGCCAACTAAGCACCAATCATACCAGGAATTTCAAAAGTTTATGAATATAGCTCTTTCATATGGATCGCTTGGTATACAGATGAATTAAAAGTAATGAATACAAGGTGGTATTTGTTGGGATGATTTTGAATTCATCACTGGGATTTGTTTTAAATTCAGTTTATTTGATATTGGAAACTATAGTACACTTATCTTACTGTGATTGTTATGTTTACGGAACACCATTTGGAAATAAGACTAAAATGCACAATCTATATGAGATCATTATTCCTTTAATGATTAGTAGCAGGGCTCGAAATAACGCCTGGCAGTTCCAATTAAATGATACAAAAAATTAAAACAATGGGTATTTGAGGTGATTGGTGTTTCTTATCCATTTACCATTCTATTTGTCTGATGCAAAACATCAAGATATGCATCCACAGAATTGCTAATTGTTACATCCATTGGAATTCTAAGTCCACTAATCTGGAAGTCATTCAGCGGACAATTTGTTTCAGGAACTTCAACAGTGGCTGCTTCTGCACCTGGCACAGGACTATCCCAGTCAATACCATAATTGTCTTCAGATCCCTATAAAAGTAAGGTGTCTTATACACATCACAAAAATGAAAGTTAGGAAATTCATGTAAAATTAATATAACATTTACATGTACTCACCTGAGCGAATTCTTGTGCTACAGTTGAACCAGTATTGGAAATTCTGTGCAGTCCTTCAATCCAAAGCTGCATCGGTGTTTTGTTTCTTTCGGACCGAAGAGGATGGTTTACCCATGCTTCCTGCCAGGATGAAATGTGCTTGTTTATAAGTGGTATGAATATCAAATGCAAACACCACACATGGATATCATCATTTGGGTCAAGGTTTCCATTGCTCTCCATGTTGTAAAACAGATTGTAAAAAAGGCTGGAGCATCCTTGAAACAGGTCTCTCCAAAGTCTTTCTATCCGTTGATTATGCGTGCTTTTGCCTATATTAAATTTCAACATGCTCATTAGTTTGTCCAATTTTTAATACATATTTTACTAACCACAAACAAATTTATCAAGGGTCAATAATAGCCATGCAAAACAAATTACCAGTGATCATACTCCCTCTTCCAGGACCTCTCTGAGGATGGTTTAACATATGCCATGCCACCTGAACATTTTCCCCCCCCTTGTCTGAACGTACACGTGATGGCAGCCCATATCTGGAAATAGCATCCAAAAACAATTGCTTAACAGTGTCACTTCTGTTGTTATCAGATGCATGCAAGTATACAGGTATTCTGGAGTAGCCATCGATTCCACCATGTATTACTATTCTCCATCTAAAAATTTAAAGTAAATTAATTTGTAATATTTTCTCTATATCCCCCCTTATCTTGTTTTACAGACAATTGCAAATCAATAATTTTTAAAAGTTAAATCATTTCACCTGATTAACTTGTGATTACCATCAATGTGCCACAAGCTTAATGGGCCAGCCACGTGGTATGACCGTCGCCTTAAATTTTGGGACCATCTTTGCATCAAACCCACAGGATCTGTCCGAAGTAATGCTTCTCTTATTCGTGCATGTTGTACACGATGCCCTTTGCTCTTCAGAAAGCCTCTCATTATCCGAATACCACTATTTGGATTTAGTTGTTGTGCTTCCATAACAAGGTTATCAAGTTGAGCATCATTAATATCACTGTATGTACCTGAAAATGTTTTAGTTAATGTCAGTTAATAAACCCTGCAAAAATTGAAAGAGCATAAAGAAAATTAGTTATTGCAGGTATCACTACCTCTAACAGAGATACTCAATGATTGCATTCTTCTTTCCAACGTCCTTTTTGCAACTCCAAGAATGTTACTGATTTCGCCAACTTTAAACCCTTGATCGAGTAAATAAATCAACTGATTTTCATTAATGTCTATGATAGGACGACCACGCTTTATTGGGTTGTGTCCACGCCTCTCATTGTTTTCCTGTATACCAGACAAACTATTGTAAGCACGATTCACGCCGTCAGAAAGCAATTCATCCTCGTCTACATTTAGGACAACGAACATTCTCTTTAAAACATCAAGTCTCAATAGTAAAGCCCCAACATCGTCCTCG